CGTTTTCCAGCAGGGTCTGGCCGTGGAAGTGAACCACGTGGATGTCCCGGGAGCCGCCCACGTTCAGCAGGTGCAACCTCACCCACTCCTGCTCGTACATCCTCAGGCCAGGCAACTTGTAGATCATCCCGTTGATGGCTGAAAGGACAGAGGACCGCAACCCATGAGAATCTGTGTGCACAGGAGAGAGGCTGCGAGGGCCTAGGAGGGTCTCTCTCTCCACCAGCTCCTACATCAGCCTGCAGCGGGGGTGGGTGAGCTCCTCTCCCAGAACTTTCTCTGTCTCTTCCCTGGACTTTCCGCGGCTCCTGTCTGTGCTTCACCCACGCAGCCTTTCCATTTGCAGTTTGAAGTTTCCTTTGCTGCTAATAGAAAAGGCTGATGTGGCCAGATAAGGGAACTCCAGTGTTTAGAGGAGAGAGAGTACGTCAGGGGGTGTGCAGTGCCACCCTCAGGCCCCCTAAAGTCAGAGATAGAACCAGGCCAAGTCAGGAGGTCGGACTTCATCTCTAAGCACCCACAGCCGCAGTGACTCATGCTGGTTCTCTCATTCAAACGCCAGCTGCTCTGCCCCCTCCCAGCTTGGATGCCCAGGGTTCTGAGATGTATCCACTCTCCCCTCAGTGGGGTGTGTGTGTGTGTGTGTGTGTGTAGCACCTGGTACAGCAGATCACCTTAAAAATGCTACTATATTTCAATGATAAAGCTTAGTGCTACCCCGCATTTAACTGGGACTAAAGTGAGGGAAGTTTTTGTTGTTGTTCTTGTTGTTTATTCTTCTAAAATGAAAGGCACTGCTGTGGAATTTCAGGAGCCAAGCCAGTGAGCTGTTGGAGGGAGAGGAGCTGAGAGCATTTGGCTGCCTGTTTTATTCACCTGTGCTTGGTGCCACCGGGAGCTGCTGAATACTAAAGCTGTGATTTCTGAAAGCACAGGTGGTTGCTTCTCCTACAGACATCATTTTCCTTTAAAGATCAGGAAACAGTCTATTAAGCACTTAAATTGCAGAATAATGCTAAGTCCTCGTCAATGTATGTTTAACTGAAGTGCACTGGTGCACTGCTGTGGGTTTGGGTTTGTTTCGTGGCAGCGCCGTGCCTGTCTTTCAGACCCTCCTGCGTTCCTTTGCCTGGAGTGTCACCTGCTGGGCCCCCTCAGCCCCCCAAGACGTGTAGGGACCTGGCTTCGTGGTCGCTCCTGGTTCCTCAGAAGCATCTCCTGCCTAATCTTTGGAGACCTAAGGGCAGGTGTCCCTGTCACCCCGACACCCAGATCAGATCTAATCAGAGGAAAATACCATGGAACGTGTGGGAGGGCTTTGCTTCTGAGGATCCACTTCTCCAGGAACTTTGGTGTTTCTTCTCATAGTACCAGCTCTTCTTTTCATCAAAGACCATGAAAAGCAAGACGAACTCCCTCATGTCCACGGGCATTCCGCTCTCCCTGTTCAGCGTTCCTTTCCGGCAGATCACAAGGGGGCCTATCAGGCCCGAGTGGATGTCCCGTTCCTGTAAGACAGCAGGAGGAATGGAGCACACACCCTGCCAGCACTCTCTCGGCTCTTCTGGCGATCGGTCGTTGATCGCATGGAAAAGGGAACCTTCCTAGAGGCCTGACTGTGAGGATGACAAATGAGTAGCTTCATAAAGCTGGATCTATGGCATTCCTATCCCCTTCCTTTGCTTAGTTGTTTATCGTGACATGGTAGTCATCATAATGATAATAAAATATTGATGCTATAACAAATACTATTTATTGAGCACTTACTACTATATTAAATATTTTGCCTATAGCCACTTATATAATTCTGACAACAATCCTATATGGTAAAAAGAATTCACTTATTAAACAAATATGACCAACTATGTGTGATGTATGTTGTTATCTCATGTTTAACTTTGGAAACCCAGACTAAGAGAGGACGAGAAATTTGCCCAGGGCCACACAGTGGGTGACAGGGGAGGAACTGAAATTGAGGCCGGTACTCTCCCTACCATGCCCAAGAGGGAAGGGGTCTTGACATTGTAGTTCTTCCACAGAGAAAGAGGAGAAGACAGCTCATATTCACTCCAGGAAATTGCAAATAAATGCCTTCCTCTATAAGGTGGTCTGTCTGACTGGGCCAGCCCTCTCAGCAACCCTCACTCCTCTTCATTGAGCACACCTTTCTCTCTCACCGTCATCTCTGTAGGTCTGCAGGGAGGTCCCTGCTATGGTAGCTGTGGGGTGTTGGCCACAATCCTTACACCTTCCTCACAGATAGCAAGACAAGCATTTAGCAAGAAATAATCTTCAGCCCTAGCTGGTTTGGCTCAGTGGATAGAGTGTCGGCCTGCAGACAGAAGGGTCTCAGGTTTGATTCCAGTCAAGGGCACATGCCTTGGTTGTGGGCTCAATCCCCATTAGGGGGCCTGCAGGAGGCAGCCAATCAGTGAGTCTCTCCCATCATTGATGTTTCTCTCTCTCTCTCTCTCTCTCTCTCTCTCTCTCTCTCTCCCTCTCTGAAATCAATTTTAAAAATAAAAACAAAACATCCAAAAGAAAACAAGAAGTAATCTTCACCTTCCATTTAGCAGCCTCGGGTTATAAGTTAAGAGAATGACAGCACGTTGATGGCTGTGCCTACCGTGTTCACTGCTGAGTAGTAGGCCCACGCCCGGCAGGCAGAGCCGGGGTTCTCTGGTCCCGCTCTCCCGATGGCGTGCCATACGTAGGTGTAGCTGCTGTTTGGCTGAACAGCATTGTCTTCCTGAAACCACTTGGAAGACTCATCTTCATAATTCTTTCCCTCCGATGACTTTTCATAGGAAAGCCCATGGGCATGAAGAGAATACGGTCTGGATGCTAAGTTTTTAAAACGAACCTAGAAAAAAACAAGGATCCACAACACACTTAAGCTTAACAAAATGCCAGTTGCCACGGAACTTTTGTACATTATTTCCTCTAACTTTACTAGCATCCTGCGAGATAGGGCCCAAGCAGCTTCCCCCAGAAATGCCAAGCCATGCTTGCTCCTCGCCCAAAACAAAATTATTGACAGCAGATGCAATGCTACTGATAGGAGCTCTGGATCTGAAGGTCATGAGGCTTGGCTTTTGTCACAGGAAGCTTTCTGCCTGCTGCTGAAGAGACTGCACATGTGAATTCAAGTTACCCTCTGGGGACAAAAGGTGTCGTACATCACACATGAACGGGTTAGAGAGAGGTGCTTGGGAGGAGCCATTTGGCTGAATGTTTAGAAAGGGTGGAGGGAATTAAAAAAAGTTTCCTAGGGGAAACGGAATAGTCCTTATAGAATAAGCAGGAGCTTAGCAGAGGGAGAAATAGAATCATAAGATTATTTTTTTCTCGAGGTTTGCCAAATACTTGGCAACTGTCTTGGAGAAGAAATGTCATTATTTATTAGTTTTGGAAAATAAGTAAATCCACCTAGCCAGTGCGGCTCAGTGGTTGAGCATTGACCTATGAAACAGGATGCCATGGCTCGATTCCCAGCAGGGCACATGCCTGGGTTGTGTGCTTTGTCCCCCACTAGGATGTGTGCTGAAGGCAGCCGATTCATGATTCTCTCTCATCATTGATGTCTCTCTCTCTCTCTCTCTCTCTCTTTCTCTCTCTCTCTCTCCCACTCTCTTCCTCTCTGAAATCAATAAAAATATATTTTAAAAAAAGAAAATAACTAAATCACATAGCTCTCTCCTGCCACCATCGCCTTTACAACCTATGGTGCTGGTGGGAAGGACTCACTTGGATAACGTCATCCACCTCAGCTCTAATAACAGGACCAAGAATGCCAAGATGGTCTTCAGACTCTCCCTGAGGGTCCCGTTGGGTGAAAGTGCCATCCAGGTACTTTCGGAAAACAACTTTCTTGTATATGGTGTCCTCTGGAACCTCATCAGTGTCTTCGTTATCCATGTCACTGAAATGATAATGACAGTATTTGTTTACAAGAACAAATGAAAGACCATTCAAAGAATTTAGGAAATGGTCTCTGTTTCTGAATATAGCATCCAGCATAGAGAAGATATTGAGCACATATTTGATGAGCAAATGAATGAAAATAGAAATGACTAAAGACGCAACCAGTAGCTACCCAGCTCCCAATTCAGATACCATTTCTTAGGTAAGTCCTCCCATGCGCCTTTGGGCTAGGTCAAATCTCTGTATAGCATTCCTCCATTTCTATAGTAGCACTATAGTGCATATAGTAAAGTCCTATAGCATTGTAGCATTTCTGTAGTATATACAGTACAGTATGTATCACTTATTTGTGTGATTATCTGTTAGTATCTGACCTGCCCCTAGAGCAGTGGTCGGCAAACCCCAGCTCTCGAGCCACATGCGGCTCTTTGGCCCCTTGAGTGTGGCTCTTCCACAAAATACCACATGTGGGTGCGCACATACAGTGCGATTGAAATTTCGTGGCCCATGCACAAAAGTCGGTTTTTGGCCTGGGCGAGTCTATTTTGAAGTGGCGTTAGAAGAAGTTGGGGGTGTTGGTCAGTCAAGCAACGGGAAATGCGGTGCAGGCGAGCCAAGGGATACCCAGCGCAGGGGGAGGCGCATGTGATTCATGCATGAGTTGAGTGAGCCAGTCAGTCAGCAGTCTCATTGTGCAGTGGTTAGTGCTAGTCGTGTCCGCAAATCGCGTGCGGGTGACAAGAGTACCTACTCGAAGCATAAAGTTACCTGTATTTGTCCAACCAGCTACAAATCCTATAGGTATGTTTGTTATCAATTTAAGAATTGTAATTCTTTTGTGTTGGTGGCTTTATTATAAAACTAGAGGCCCAGTGCACAAAAATTTGTACACTTGAGAGGATCCCTCAGCCCGGCCTGTGTCCTCTCGCAGTCTGGAACCCCTCGGGGGATGACCACCTGCTGGCTTAGGCCCACTCCCTGGGGGATTGGGCCTAAGCTGGCAGTCAGACATCCCTTTGGCAGCCTGGGAGCCCTTAGGGGATGTCAAGTTGCCAGCGGGGAGCAGGGCTAAACTGCAGTCAAACATCCTTAGTGCTGCTGAGAAGGCGGGAGAGGCTCCCACCACCACCGCTGTACTGGCAGCCATCAGCCTGGTGTGTGGCTGAGCAGAGCTCCCCCTGTGGGAGCGCACTGACCACCAGGGGGCAGCTCCTGCATTGAGCATCTGCCCCTTGGTGGTCAGTGTGTGTCATAGTGACCAGTCATTCCCAATCGTTCTGCTGTTAGGGTCAATTTGCATATTACCTTTTTATTATATAAGAGTGCCTGGCCAGCCTGGGTGAGGGGCTGATGGTTGTTTGCTGGCTGGCCACAGCCTCTTCAGCGTGGGGGTCCCCCCTGGGGTGCCTGGCCAGCCTAGGTGAGGGGATGATGGCAATTTGCAGGCTGGCCAAGCCTCCCAGCAGGGACCCTAACCCCATGAGGGTGTGGCCAGCCTGGGTGAGTGGCTGATGGCTGTTTTCAGGCTGGCCAAACCCCTTTCAGGGGGGCGGGTCCTTCTGGGGTGCCTGGCCAGCCTGGGTGAGGGGCTGATGGCTGTTTTCAGGCTGGCCACAACCCCCAGCTACCCAAACTCCCAGTGGAGGCTGGCTGGAAGCAGGTATCTGGGATTTATTTGCCTTCTATAATTGAAACTTTGTTGCCATGAGCGGAGGCCACAGCTGGCTCAGGGTAGGCGGGAAGCTTGGCTTCCTCCATCACCCAGGCAACCAAGCCTCCAGCTTGCCCCAGCTTCTTGGCTGCCGGCTGCCATCTTGGTTGGGTTAATTTGCATATAGTCACTCTGATTGGCTGGTGGGCGTGGATTAGGGTGTAGCAAAGGTATGGTCAATTAACATCTTTGTCTTTTATTAGTGTAGATGAAACATCTTTTTAGGTTCCCTGTTTGAGATGGCTACAAAGAAGAAGCTAAGAAAAACGGAAGATGAAAACCGTGAATTTAAAGTTGAATGTACCTACCTATATAGTTTAAGTTTAAAAAATTTGGCTCTCAAAAGAAATTTCAATCGCCGTACTGTTGTTATTTGGCTCTGTTGACTAATGAGTTTGCCGACCACTGGGCTAGAGGAAAAGCCCCATGAGGTAGGGATTGTGCCTGGTTAGCTCACAGTTTTATTCCCAGTGCCTCACAGAGTACCTGGCACCAAGTTGCAGCAGGGGAACAAAATTATGCTTAGCTAGTTTGCCCAGAATTATCTCCTTGGACTGTTGAAATTACTTTTCTGGCAGTAGTGGGAAAACGAGAAGAGATGAAAACACTGGCCAAACCTTTGTGCGTATTTTGCGTAATCCCAGGATATTTCTTCCGCAGCAATGTAGTAATATTTTCTGTTCCCGTTGCTGCTGCGGAGGTACGATGCTGCAATGCGGTCCGGATTTCTGGAGGAGTTGATGTCTGTCCTAATATCGGTTTGGTAAGGGTTATTGAAGGTCACAGTAACTATTTCATAAACGTCTTCTTCACTGCTCTGTTGTTTCTCCCTCGGTGTAATCTCAATGTATTCTCCATCTTCCCCACTGAAGCCAAACACAATGGGTGGATTAAATTCACTTGCTATCGAAGTGTTATTTAGTGAAGGAGATGGTTGCGGAGAAGGCATCTGACCAAAGTCTGAATAAGGAAAAGTAGGATCAAATTCTGGAAGAGGGGAGGACGGACTGGATTCAGAAATGTAGGCTGTTTGACCAAGGTCTGGAGGAGGTGATGTCTGCCTGAGATCAGGAGGAAGGCCTGTCTGAGTGATATCTGGAGAGAGAGTTGCATGTCTGAAGTCTGGAGAGAGGGTCTCCTGGCTGAGGTCAGGGGAAAGGGTCGTCTGATCGAGGTCAGGGGAAAGGGTCATCTGGCCAAGGTCAGGGGAAAGGGTCATCTGGCCAAGGTCAGGGGAAAGGGTTGTCTGGCCGATGTCAGGGGAAAGGGTCATCTGGCCAAGGTCAGGAGAAAGGGTTGTCTGGCCGATGTCAGGGGAAAGGGTCGTCTGGCCGAGGTCAGGGGAAAGGGTTGTCTGGCCGATGTCAGGGGAAAGGGTCGTCTGGCCGAGGTCAGGGGAAAGGGTCGTCTGGCCAAGGTCAGGGGAAAGGGTCGTCTGGCCAAGGTCAGGGGAAAGAGTCGTCTGGCCAAGGTCAGGGGAAAGGGTCGTCTGGCCGATGTCAGGGGAAAGGGTCGTCTGGCCGATGTCAGGGGAAAGGGTTGTCTGACTAAGTTCTGGAGGGATGGCTGTCTGCCAGACTTCACGTTCTAAGGAAGGGGACCCTTGTCCAGTGTTGGTAGGGAAGGACTGGGTTCCTCCATCATAGTCAGGCATCTGGCCAGGCTCTGGAGAAGCTGCATGACTGGGGCTTGGAGGGAACTGTGTTTGATCAGAGTCTTGACTCCAGAACATTTGGTAGAACTGTTCAGGGGGCATTGTCTGATACATGTCTGGTGAGAAGCTTGTCTGACCAGTGCTATCTGGGAGACTGAGATTATGGTCGGGAAGTGAGGCTACCAGGCTGAGATTCCCACGGGGCAATGTCTGGGCGAGGTCGGTGGGAAGAGACGTCTCCTTGACCTTGTGAAGGGCGTCTGGGAGGGTGAGGTTGCCCTCTCCTCTGGGAAAGTTCCTTGGAGAGAGAGGAGTGTGGTGTGCAGGCTTCCTTTTTCGTGTCCGAATGAGAAAAGTGCTGTTCTTCACTCTACTGCTTCCTCCAGGTCTTGTTTGTAGAAATTTATGTCTAATTCCAGGAAACTTTGGGTGGCCACCTTGCTCTCCATGCTTGTTGGTAAGAGGGATGCGTTCTCCCCATGTCCTTGAGGCAGTCTGGGGGCTGTTCCGAAGCTTATTAACCGCCATGTCTTCATCAGCCTCGGGGATTATTTCATAGCTACCTTTTTCAGAAACCAAATGCCATTTCCCATTCAAATTCTTAGAGAGAGTCTTGTGTTTTAAGAGATCACTGGGAAGGTCCTTCCAGGGCTCCATGATGGAAGAAGAGTTGCCTTGGCTTAAATATCTCCCTGTTTTATGTCCTAGAAATTTCATCCGGGAGAACCTGTGCCTTGCCTCCAATCCCTTATGTTGAGCATTCCCTTGGCTTCTGAATCCTTCTGCACCAAGTGGTAGGAGGCTTGTCCCTGTGACCTTTGGCTGTAGAGGATCCTCTATAGGGACTTCAGAATAAGGTCTGGAATTCTCTGCTGTGGAAGGGCCGAGAACTGAGCTCTTTTCTAAGCTGTGCCCCACCTGAGGACCAGCTGTGGTGGTTTCAGGGTGAGGAAGGGTTTTGTTAGGTTCTGCAAACTTATTGTCAATGAGCTCGCTGTCACTTGGGGAAGAAGAATTTGAATCAACGGCTGTATCAGTACTTGGAGGGATGAATTCAGAGGTGTTCTCCAGGGCTAGGGCAGTAAGATTGAACTCATCTTCCTCCTGATTCAGTGATGAATTTCTGAATGACCTAATTCCATATAACGAAGCCAAGTAATCATCTTCAGTCTCATCTATTTCACCCTGGTTTTCCGGAAACTCATGCACTTTCCGTGTAGTCATCGGTGTAGATGGTGGAGGTTTGTATATTTCAAAGTCATATTCTTCATCTTCATCATTCCGGTTACACTTAGCATCCCTGAATCTCAGCCGTAGGTTTTTGCTTCTTGGATTAGAATTCATGGTAGTTAATATCCAAGTTCCTAGAGAAGAGAGACAGACAGCATAGAGAGCTTTAAGTCCAGAAAAAGACAGAAAGTCCCTAGCATTTGTTGTAGCAGATAATTCTTAACAAACTTTGGCCAGGGATACTCAAGTGTGGCCTGTGGACCTCTGCTTCCCTGTGAACTGCTGGTTACGGGTGCACAGTGCCACCAGAAGGAAAATGGAGAGCCAGGTACTTAGGACACTTCTGAGAAATTTGACATTGCTGTGACATCCAAGCATGTGATCAATGCATTTACCTCGTTTAACAGACTATAGATCAAAGGTATTGGTCAGCGGAGTGCAGGGAGGAAAAAATCGTCTTAGCTCAGATAGTTTGAGGGTCAATATTTCAGAATAGATTTTAAAAGGTATGGATTGAGAATAAAACGAATTTTAATCATCTCTGTCTTGTTAGCTGCACATCTTGTTTGAGGATTGTAGTGGGGGGAGGATGGTGATACCTACTCCCAGAAATGAGAGACATTTAGGTATTTCCAATTGACCAATAATTCATGTGGGTCCCAGGGCAAGTTTGAATCTCTCTGAAATGGTGTGAATTGCCGGCACACTGAAGATTTCCTGGGAAGTGTCCAATGGTTACCACTTGCTGAGTGTCTACTGAGTGCTGGACACTTGGCACATATTATAATTAACTAGAGGCCTGTTGCATGAAGAGATTTAGGCAATAAGCCTTCCTTTCCCCTGGCTGCTGGCACCAGTTTTCTTTCGCACCCGGCACCCAGGCCTTCGCTCTGGTTGGGCTCCAGCCAGAGCCGGCCCCGGGGCCGTAGGCTTCACTGCTCCGGCCCCCGTGCCATCAGGCTTCGCTCCACCGCTTGGAGCCTATGTATGCAAATTAACCGCCATCTTTGTTAGGTTAATTTGCATACTCTCCTGATTGGCTGGTTAGCATAGTGAAGGTACGGTCAATTTACATGTTTGTCTATTATTAGGTAAGATGACCAAAGCAGCTCTGTTAGCAGCTGTTGTGTGTGTGTGTGTGTGTGTGTGTGTGTGTGTGTTTTCAAATGAATAAACTGAGCCTCAGTGAGGTCAGGTCAGTTGCCCAAGGTTATACAGGTGTTGCGTGGCCGGGCAGGATTTGAACCCAGAGCTGATGAACTCCAAAGCCCACGTGCTTTCCAGGGCTGTGGCGTGACTGAGGCCAGCCTTGCAGGCACTATACCTGGTGATCACTAACGCTAGCACAGGTGGCTGTCTTACAAAACTGGAAAGGACATTTTGATAAAAGAAATGTCTTTTTGAGACTGAATGGTCACGCTTACTCCTCAAAGTCATGCCATATCTTCTGTGGATGTGTGTCTTTACTTCTCACTTACAGAGAAGGATGAACGGAACCCACATTAAAGGGCTGAACCCACTGAGGCCAAACTGAATTAATTCCCCAAACGGAAATCATGACAAGTATCAAAAGGGAAGCCTGCAAGGGATCCGAGAGCTGAGCCCAGGACCTGAGCCTGGAGAGCTGCAGCAGACCTAGGGACCAGGAGCCCCTGCCCCACGCCAGGCTCTCACCCACATTATCCATCGTGACGGTCACCGATTCCCCGCGCATGGGGAAGAGCGTCAAGGTGTCTTCATGCCTCTTCCCGTAGATGAAGGAGTGCCCAGTGAAGTGGATGGTCAGAAAGTCATCCTGGGTCCCCACGCTGCAGAAGTGCCACTGGATGGTGTCGTCAAAGCAGAACCCGAGTATGGAGATGCTGTCGGGCACGTAGCCATTGATGGCTGAAAGAGTCGGATCGGTTAGAATGCCAGGCCCACGCCAGCACGAGGGCACGTGCCTAACACCTAAAACACATGCCTCAATGTTAATTTGGTTGCATCAGAGCAGTGATTACCTGAAATCAGCTTTAGCAGGTCTAACATGTATCTACAAGGTTAAACCCAGACTTCCCATCGCAGTGGCTCTGTACTTAAAACTGCAGCACATGGCTCAGGGAATACCTACTCTTCTGAGTGTCTTAGTACACACTTCAAACCCCTCCCACAGAACGACTTTGCAAAACTCCTGGCTAACCCTTTTAGTGTGATTTGAAAAATCTAGTTTTGAATTACTTATTTTGTTTCTGCCCTGGCCATAGAGTATCACCTTGCACCCAGAATGTCTATTTTGCACCCCAGATACCACAGACCAAGGCCTGTAGCCCCTTCCTTTACCACCCCCATCCCTCACCTGTTCTGCTCTGCCCAGAGCACATGCACAGGTACACACACACACACACACACACACACACACACACACACGGAGCAGGAGAAGACGTATAAGGATAACAAGCTTTTGACCTCTCGCTGTAAAAAGGTCACCCTTTATATGATTTCATCACCAAATCCCTGGATGAAGGTGAAGCTGAGATGTGTCGGTTCTCATCCACGTCTGCCTCTAGGCACAGCACGCTTCAACCACATGGGTGAGAAGTGATGGACAGAGAGGGGAGCATGCTCCGACTTACTGCTCATGATGTTTGACTCATAAAACTTAGGGTCGTCACGCTTCACCTCCTCAGGATTCTCACAAAACTTGTTGATGTTGTCCTCAATGTACCAGCTCTTGTTCTCATCAAACACAGCAAACACAGCCTGCTGCTCGATGTCTGCTGCCCTCTGCGGGGTGGGGGGGCGGGGGGGGGAATGCTGTGTTCTAATATCCCAGCCAGCGACCCACAGCTTCAGACACCCCAGGGCCCAGTCCTCGGGGTCACTGAAGCCATGCATTTAGGCCTTGGTGAGAGCCCCTTGTGTGCAAAGCCCTTGTTAGAGCCAAAGGTATTATGCAAAAGCAAACAGAGCAGATCAGGAAATTCAGAAACTAAAATATCCTAATAGAAAAATTCCATTTGTCATGGCAACTGTAATTCTGTTTATCTCTGTGACGGAACACCTTTCAATCGGACTGATCGACCGACAGGGTGTGCTACGAACAATTGCAAAGGATAAAGCAGGAGGCTGCAACAGGAAAGCTTCATATCTCTCCCTACGCGTTTCCTTTCCAAGTTCAATAAATTAGGGTCTTTCTAATGTTCGTTTCTGATTTTCCTAGGCATATATTTATTTTGTATGCCTTGGATGAGACCCTTTTTAAAAAATTATAGCTTTACCCAATTGTCTGTGAATTTAATGGAGCTTAATAGGATGAGACTCTTCTACAGTGAAGGTCAAGTCAGAAGATCCACGTCTTTGTCTAATTCAGTCTCACTAGAGATGGACCATCGTCAAGGTGCAGTCTCACCAGGAGCTATGTCTCCTGCGTTTCTCTCTTATCTCTTTCTAGTGCAGATCTCTACAGGTAACAAGGATTGGTACAGAGCCTATACTCTTGCCAGGTGCTACCTCCCTGAGCCCCCAAACAACCTGTAATTTTTAGGATGGGTATTACCAATCTCATGTAAGGAAGAAACTGAGAGGCTAAGAGACTTGCTCAGCACACAGACAATAACAAAAAACCTGGACTTTGAAACTAGAATGAAGTATGGCTTCACACTGTAGACTTGCCTTCTGCAATGAGAGTCCGGGTGAAAATTGGCAAGACAAAAAGTTCCCAAAGGAGTCAATGTCATCTCAGTCACACCCAAGAGGACTACTACTTAGCCTAATGTTTTCTGTTCCAGAAAAGTTCCGTTATTTAGCAGGGAGACCTAGTCTGTTCCAGCTAGAAGAAATTCCTGGAATTTCTGAATGGTTACGTCAAGGGCAAAATACCTGTATGCCTCGCGTGTCCAGGGATCTGCTCTTACAAATCAGAAGTAGCCCTATGAGTCCAGAGGCAATGTCCCTTGTGACGTCCACATCACTGTAGTACGGTCTTGTTAAGCACTGGGCGTCTTTGTCTGTGGGCTCATCAGACTCCAGAATATTCCATTTATAAGTGTAGGTTTCCCCTGGTTGAACTGCTCTGACCATGGTGTTACTGCCTGAAAGAAAATATAGTCAGAATTATTTTCATTTTCAAAATTATTTTATGAGAATGAATGAATGATACAATGGAGCTTTCATGGCAAGCAATTAATATTGGGAAAGGAATATTTTTAAAATATTAAGATCCCTTGATAGCATGTAGTCATCAGATCTTGCTCCCCTAGAGGCCACTATGGCACTAATAAAGGATGCTGTAGGGCAAGCATGTCAAACTCAAAGGCTAACATGGGCCAAATAAACAAGGCTTAAGTATATGTGGGCTGCAAAAAAACAAAAGCTTTAATTTTCATAGAAATTATGGTAGGTTTATTTTGATAGATACATGCTGAAATAAATGATTCACCATTAACATAAAATAATAGAAAATTTTAATAAAAATTAATATTTTTCTTGACCATTAACTTACCAGACACTGAATAACTGCACAAATTAATAAGCATAACACTAATAAACCTGTTTTTCTTGTTCTCTGAAAGTGAAATATTTCCTGTGGCGCACACCAAACAAGTCAGTACAAGACTAATGACGTGGCCATCGGCTGCTAAAATAGTGGCTGCTAGTATTAGTGGAGAGAAATGGTGCGCCTGCGCATAAGGGAAATGAATGCAACACGATTATAGTAACCAGTAATTAGTGAACGTTGTAGTTTGTTATTACTAATTATGTATAACAGGATAGTGTAAAAATTAAGTTACAAAATTTTTATTAAAATGTTTCTTACATACTGTTATATTGGCTGGGCCGCAAAAATATTCGTTGTGGGCCGCAGGCAGCAGGCCGCGAGTTTGACATGCTTGCTGTAGGGTAAATAACCCCCTGAGATGAGTAGGGTTTCCTTGTGGCTTTTAGGGTTCCTGCCCATGTATAGACACTACCTGACTGCACAAGGTTTACTACTGAGCAAGAGGGACCGTAGAAAAATATGGTAGCTTCTCAGAGGTCAATAGCTTCATTCAGCAGAAGTGAAAGATTCAAACCTGAGGCGGAGGAAGAGTTGACTTTTTCTTCCAAAGGAGAGAAGGTCACGCCATGAGGGTAAATGCTGTAGGCGCGGCTGGCCATATTTTTGAATGTGATCTACAAAGTTAACTCAGATTCATTATTCGGGACTTAAGATTGATTTCGAGCATATACCTCCCAAGATTTGGGAAGTTTTCAACTATTATTTTATTTTCAACTATTATTTTTAAAGAAGCTTTCTGCCCCCTTGTCTTCTTTTCCTTCAGACTCTTACAGTACACATGTTAGTTCTTTTGATGATATTCCATGTTAACTTTGCACGCTCACTTGTTGGACGGTGTGTGCATGCATGGAATCTTGTTCTGTTTATCTGAGCAGCAATCTCTCCATCACCGGGCAGAAGCATTTGAGAGAGTTTCGCCTCACAGAGTAATCTGACCTTAGAAATGACATTTTCCTCACAGTACGCCACCCGCTCCGAGCTGGTCCCCATCTCCTTCCCTTCTCCTTTCAGCTCAGACCCCATCTGTGTTCATTTTCTGCTCCTCCTCTTCTCTACACCATGACCTCCTCCTCCCACTGGCCAGGTCTCCCAGAACCCCTGTCCTTAAAGCCGTGTCCTGAGGGCATGGCTAAGAGCCGGATCCTCAATTTCCAATGAGCTGTATTTATACACCTCGGAGGGGTCAGAGCACCTCGGAGGGATCAGAGATGGGGGAAGAGAGAGGCTGCTTCTGGTGCTTTGGTTATTTTCAAATGAGCAGAATTGGCCTTGTCTGCAGATGCCCTCCTAATTCCGTCCCTGCAGCGGTGAAGTATGGTCTTGGTAAGCACTGGGCATCATTTTAGGAGCATTATCCACACAGGAGTCCTGGTTATGCTCCTTAATCTTCCAAAGAGAACCTTGATTGTATCTTTGGTTGATTGCCAAAGCATTTGGGTCATTCTCCATCTGTAGACAATCTGCATTCTAGAATCTGGCCAAAGATTGCAACCTTCAGTCCTCTGCTTCCCCTGCTTATAAAAAGCTTGATGAACCCGGCCGGCATGGCTCAGTGGTTAAGCATCAACCTCTGAGCCAGGAGGTCATGGTTCAATTCCAGTCAGGGTACAAGACTGGGTTGTGAGCTCGATCCCCCATATGGAGCGTGCTGGAGGCAGCCGATCAATGATTCTCTCTCATTATCGATGTTTCTACCTCTCTCTCTCCTCCTTCCTCTCTGAAATCAATAAAAATATATATTTTAAAAAGCTTGATGATGTGACATAGCATTAAAGGAAACTATCTAAACAACACCCTGTCCTCATGATAAATATGCAAGTCTTTGCGTGTGTCTTCATCAGAGACCAGGCTTCAGAGAACTATATACCAAGACCACAGTGAAGGATTTTTTTTTTCTCAATGGCATTTACTGTGATATTTTTAGCTATAATGAGAAACACTTTTATAAGGTTCTACAATATTTTTATTTATTGTACCAATTGTAGGGGTTTTATCAAGGAATCTATCCACTGCATCAATAGCACCCTCTCTTCAAGGATCCATGGGACAAATTCTTCTCTGGTCGCTGTGCTTCTTTTGTGACTACTGTGACTCTGGCCCTAACAGATTTCCCTTTTTACTTCGGCTGCTAGAAAGCTCAGGACAAAATTTGCAAACAACCTTATAAGATCATATGGTAAGTGCATCATTATACTTACCTTATCCTTGGTTTTCTTTTCTTTGTCCCCAATATTATTCACCCCAATTACATTGACTATTGTATTCCTTTATAATTTGATAAACTATCTCAATTCTTTGTATTATGGAGTAAGCTATAAATAAGTGCAAATACTAAATAAAAACAAAAAGTTGCATTTGAATTAAAAATTACATGGACACCCTTTAAAAAAAATAAGCAGCCAGTACTTATAATGTCTTTTGTTATTTAATTTCTTTCCGCACGGGCCTACCTTTCTGCTACTTACTTTGAGCGTGTCTCTGACCTGGGCTCTGATAATAGGGCCCAAGATCCCGTCTTCAATGTTTCTGGACTCCTCCAGGCGTTTGGTGAAGGTCTCATCTTGGTACTGTTTGTACACAACCTTCTTATAATGTTTTCCAATTTGGTTGGAGAAATTATCCAAGTGCAGAGATCTGTATTTTCTTAAAGTGAAATGAAATATTAAAAAATGAACCATTTTCTCAAGTAGAGACCCTGGTAGGATGGGGAAACCCTTGTGTTTAGAAATTTTGCTCTTGGATTAGCTAAAAAAAAAACCACAGATAATCTTTATGCATATACCTCCCAAGATTTGGGAAGTTTTCAACTATTATTTTATTTTCAACTATTATTTTTAAAGAAGCTTTCTGCCCCCTTGTCTTCTTTTCCTTCAGACTCTTACAGTACACATGTTAGTTCTTTTGATGATATTCCATAATTCCTATAAGCTTTCCTCATCCTTTTTCATTCATTTTTCTTCTTGTTCCTGTAAGTGGATAATTCCAAATTACCTGTCTCTGAGTTTGCTGAATCTTTCTTCTGCATGATTGATTCTGGCATTAAAGCCCTCTATTGATTTTTTCAGTTCTGTTATTGTATTTTTCAGTTCCAAGATTTCTATTTGGTTATTCTTATGGTTTATTAGACTTCTCATTTTGTTCATGCATTGTTTTCCTGATTTTGTTTAGTTGCCTATCTGTGTTCTCTTGCACTGCACTGAGGTTCTTTAAGATGAGTATTTTACATTATTTGCCAGGCACTTCATAGATCTCCAATGCTTTGAGGTTGGTTCCTGAAGCTGTATTAGTTTCCTTTAGTGGTGTCATAGTTGCCTGATTCTTTGTGGTTTGTGTCACCTTGGGCTGGTGTCTGTGCATTTGAAGAAGCAGACACCCTCTTCCAGCCTTTACAGACTGAATTTGGCAGGCAAAGACCTTCTCCCGACAGGTCTCCTGACTGATGGGATTGCTTTTAGGATCACAATCAAGTGAGGTTGGATCAGGTCACATGGCTGCTGGCGGGCAAGACTTTACCAAGAGCTCAGATGGGTTTGGGTCCTGTCTGGTCCGTGGAAGATGGGACTGCCTCCGGGACCTTAGTCAGTAGAGCTGGTGCTGGAATAATGGCTCATTTTAAGGTCCTCAGTGGAGTTTGCAAATGGTAGGCCTGTTACCAGGTGTTTAGATGGGTATGGCTCCCATCTGGTCCTTGGGAGGACTCCCATCAAGTCCCTGGGTAGGTCCCTGATGGGCAGGACCGCTTCTGGACTGCAGGTGGGAGGGCTGGAGCTGGGCTACAGGGCCATTTCAAGATCTCCACTGGGACCAAGGTCTGCAGGCCAGCCTCCAGGGTCATGGACAGGGCTGACTCCTCCTGAGTTGCTTGTCAAACGATGTTGTAGCAGGGGCTGTAGCTGAGTCCATAAGAGGATGAGGCTGCTTCTAGGCTTGTAACCTGGACCTCAATGAGCAAAACTACCACCTGAGCATGGACTTGCCTTGTCAAAACAGCCCTCCGTGGTCCTGGCTTTCCTTGGGATTTTGTAAGTTTCTACCTGGATTACACAGCTCTCACAAAGGCACTTTTGTTTGTGGATGGCTGACAACTATTGTTGCCGTCTGGGAGAGGGGTGGGGGACCCCCTATTCTGCCATCTTGCTCCCTTGACTTTTTAATTTAACAACGGAGAACTTTTTATATTAGTACATAAAGCATGCTTGCGTCCTTTTAAAACAGATGCATGTTACTCTATGTATGGATATCCCATAATTTATTAAACCAATTTCCTATTGATGGACATTTTGGGTTGTTTCCAATCTTTTGCTATTACTAACAGGGTAGAGTGACTATCTTGTATGTACAACATTTTTCCTGTGAACGGTATAGCTCTATAGTAAATTCCCAGGGTGAGATTGCTGGGCCAAAAGGTATAGGCATTTATAATTTTGACACAAATGCCAGATTATCCTCTAGATGGCTCTTCCAGTTACTCTTTCACCAGCAAAATGACAGTGCCTGTTTCCCACAGCGTTGCCAAGAGATTATGCTACCTGGACTGTGAGTCCGATGGATGAAAATAGTATTTCAGAGAAGTTTAATTTGCATTTCTCTCATTGTGAGTGAGCCTGAATATTTTTTTCAGGTGTTTCAGAGCTATTTGAATTTCCAGATTTCTTAATATCTCTGACCTATTTCCTAATCTAATCTAATAAAAGAGAAACATGCAAATTGACTGCACCTCCGCTACGCCCCAAGCCACACCCACCAGCCAATCAGAGCGACTATATACAAATTAACACAACCAAGATGGCAGCCGGCAGCCACGGAGCTGGAGAAAGCAGGAGGCTTGGTTGCCCCAGTGATGGAGGAAGCCAAGCTTCCCGCCTGCCCTAGCCGGCTGTGGAACTCTGCTCAAGGCAACAAAGATTCAATTATAGAAGATAAATAAATCCCAGATACCTGCTTCCAGCCAGCCTACACTGGGAGCTTGGGTGGCTGGGGGCTGTGGCCAGCCTGCAAACAGCCATCAGCCCCTCACCCAGGCTGGCCAGGCACCCCAGCAGGATCCCCCACACTGAAGGGGGTTTGGCCAGCCTGAAAATGGCCCTCAGCCCCTCACCCAGGCTGGCCAGGCACCCCAGTGGGAACCCCCACACTGAAGGGGCTGTGGCCAGCTTGCAAACAGCCATCAGCCACTCACCCAGGCTGGCCACACCCTCATGGGGTGAGGGTCCCTGCTGGGGGGCTTGGCTAGCCTGCAAACAGCCATCAACCCTTCACCCAGGCTGGCCAGGCACCTCAGCGGGGACCCCCTTCCCTGAAGGGGGTTTGGCCAGCCTGAAAATGGCCCTCAGCCCCTCACCCAGGCTTGCCAGGCACCTCAGGGGCGACCTCCAACCTGAAGGGGCTGTGGCCAACCTGCAAACAGCCATCAGCCCCTCACCCAGGCTGGCCAGGCACTCCAGCGGGACCCACACCCTGATCTGGGACACCCTTCAGGGCAAACCAGCCAGCCCCCACCCAGGCACCAGACCTCTATCCTATATAATAAAAGGGTAATATGCAAATTGACCCTAACAGCAGAATGACTAGGAATGACTGGTCACTATGTGCAATAGTGATGCTCAATGCAGGAGCTGCCCCCTAGTGGTCAGTGCACTCCCACAGAGGGAGCTCTGCTCAGCCACAAGCCAGGCTGATGGCTGCCAGTACAGCGGTGGTGGTGGGAGCCTCTCCTGCCTCCTCAGCAGTGCTAAGAATGTCTGACTGCAGCTTAGGCCTGCTCCCTGCTGGCAAGTGGACATCCCCCAAGAGCGCCCGGGCTGCCAGGGCAATGTCTAACTGCCAGCTTAGGCCCAATCCCCTGGGGAGCGGGCCTAAGCCAGCAGGTGGTCATCCCTTGAGGGGTCCCAGACTGTGAGAGGGCACAGGCCGGGCTGAGGGACCCCTCCGAGTGCACAAATTTTTGTGTACCGGGCCTCTATTCTACTTAATAAATAAGAGCTGTCTCTCACTTCTAGAGATAAAGTGAAGCTCTTAGATAGGATTTAACACAGTGCTTGGCAATAGCAAACATTCAACAAGTGGTAGCTGCTATTATTATTATTATTATTATTATTATTATTATTATTTCCTTTAGTGAGTTTGGGGTAATTCCATGTTCATTTTGAACAAGACCTGAACGGAATCCAAAACATGTAATCCCTTGAGAGCTGTCAACTCCTGACACCTCACCCTCGCACCCAGGACCCCATGGAACATACCTGAACCTTTGCACAGTGGTCAGAACCCCCCACTCACTTGTTCATGTTCACTGGAATGAAGGGTGCGTAGTCCCAGATGACTTCCTCCGCAGCGATGAAGTATTCCCACCTCTTCATGTGCCGCCGCTGCTCCGGCGTCAGCCACTTAGGACTCCGCGTCTTCTTGGCACAGTTCTCAATGTTGATGCGAGCCTGCATCCCAGCTGAGTTAGTACATACAGACAGTGAAAGAATTGGGGAGAAGGAATTAAAGCTGATCAAACTGTAACTTTTTAATGGTGGAAAGGTTAACTGATAATGGTGAAAGCAAGGGAGAGAGGGGACAGTCTGGGAGGGAAATCTGGGAAGATTGCCTTTGCTTCTTCCAGAGCAGGAACATCTGTGGCTTCCAGACCCTGAAGACCCTATGACTTAGGTCTTGTTGACTTCTCCTTTTTCCTGTCATCTGCCCCTTTATTTGTAAAGTCAAAAGAATACAGTAATACTGTATGAAATTGTTAAAAATTAAGTAAGTTAACACAAAAGCAATTAACCTCAACAATGTTAGTTTTGTTGTTTTATGATCACTTGGGTGACAATATAATTGGTCAAATATAATTTTGACTGCTCAGTGCAAAAATATACCACAGTACCCGAGCTCTGGCCGGCATGGCTCAGTTGGTTGGGCTTTGTCCTGTGCACTGAAAGGGTCGATTCCTGGTCAGGGCACATGCCCAGGTTGCGGGTTTGATCCCCAGTTGGGAGTGTGCAGGAGGCAGCTGATCAATGTTTCCCTCTCACATCGATGTTTTTCTCTCTCCTTTTCCCTTCTTCTCTCTCTAAAAATCAATAAAATAAATCTTTTTTATAAAATGAAATGGTCCCAATCGTCTTTCTTATGTGTTTTGCTTGTACATATTATTTTGGTAACAAAATAATTTCCTATACTAATATCACTTGCTTATAATTTAGTCTCTATTTATAGGAAACCTCCTCCCAATAATTTCAAAGCAACTATGTGTAATAGAACAATGAGTATTTTGTTTACATGGAACCACATAACAACCTGGGCTGACCTTCCCCCACCAGAGTTCACTGATGCTCTTTCAAGCTCATTCCTCAGCTGCTTAGGTTTTAGGTTTGAGCCATTCAGCGTACAGTCATTGGGTTCCTCTTTGTGCTCCTTTTGTTCTAAAACACAGTCTTTTCATGTTAAAACTTCTACACTTTCTGTAACTTGGCACTTCTATCCATTTGCACGTTTGCCTTGTTCTGGCATCCAGATCTTTCTTTTAGCTACATGCTAAATACCACAAGAAAGAACATCTCTATGTGCATTTCTCTCCTTCCTCCCTTTTCCTTTCAAGGAAGTAGAGACCTCTTCAGCTTTTGCTTCATTTAAAGAAGTCTTCGTCGATTCCCCCCTTCCTTCATCCCCAAGTAAGGCTGTAAATCTAAGAGTGGAGAATGTAAGTTCTCTTCCGAGGGACCAAGGCAGGTATGTCTGGAGTGTGGGTGGCTTAGGAAGGCAAAGGATAAGGAGGGAGTTAGCGCCTGGGAAGAAGGATCCTACATTCATAAGCAAGACTGTTGGGAGCGTGTCTTGCCTTGAAAGTGCTTGGGGATGAGAGAAGAGATGATCCACTTCCCCTCCGGGCCCATCGTCATGTTAGCAGTCGTGGACGTAGCGCTGACGAGGGTCACGGCTGAGACCTTGTGACGGTTCTGCTCCAGGACCTGGCCATTGAAGTGAATGGAGAAGAGTTCTGGTCCAGAGCTCATGCCGATCAGATGCCAGCTGATGTGGTCCTGGGCACAAACGGTGATATCTGCGAGAGGAGGAGAGATGGGGGCAAAGCCAGGCAGTCAGCACTCTGTGGTAAGAACTTCTTTACCCCAAATGGATCAAGTAGCTGCTATTGTGCAAGGTTCTGAGGAATAGACACTCAGCGGTACTGGCCGCCCTGGAAACGCAGACATCTGAGAGATGGGCCAGCAAGCAGCTGCCACTCATTGCGGTGAGGGATACTACAGAAGTGAGAGCAGAGCCGTGAGAGGGGGCATTAGTTCAGAGACAGGGATTGCTAAGGGGTTAGGCCAAGGAGGGAGCCAGGTAGGTGACCACCATCCTGGGTTACCAGGACCGAGGGGTTTCCCCGGATGCAGGACTTTCACTGTTAGAACCAGGACAGTCCTGAGCAAGCCTGGCAGCTGGTCACCTAGAACCAATCTGGGCTCAGCTGGAGGGAGTCGCCAGTCTCCACGAGGGGGCCGCGTTCAGAGCCTAAGGTCTCAGCAGGATAGAGAGAGGCGCAAGGTCTGCCTGAGGAAGAGTGCGAAGGTGGTTAAGGATTGCCGATTGCGCCTGTACCCCTTGCTGATCGCTTTAATGAGACGGCAATGAATTACTCCGTGGGTCACAGGCTCTCCTTAAAACGCAGAGGACAAGTCCTCATGTGCTGGGCCCCTGGGAGCACTTCATGGGCGGAGTAATGGGAACTGAGCGCAGAGGCTGAGTTCTGCTCCTTCTTTGCCCCCACAGCGACTGGGAAAATGCTCCTTTGCTGCGTGGGAGATTCCAACCCTGGCTTCTCTCCTTGGCCCGGGTTTTAAGTTTCAGATCCATAATCACTAGATACAAGCAGTCACACCTCATTGCAGCAAGCGCTACCATAGAGGTAGGGTCGTGGGGCTGAGGATCAGTCTCTTACCCACAAAGGGGCTGAGGGCTTGTCTTTTTTTGGTGGGGGACCATGACAACAAGACAGGGATTCAGACATCATGATGAGAACAAGAAGCTAGAACCTCAGAATGAAGCTGAAAGGTAGGCTTTGGTGGAAGCATTTAGCACCCCAAAGAGATGCTCATATCGACCGGAGCATTCAGTACATCTGTATTAGCATTTACCACCGTTATTCAGTCTACATGCTTCGTGAGGCTGTTTACAAGCATTAACATCTCTGTTTCTCCTCATGCCATTTCCCTTCCTTGCCCCTCTTAACCCCAACTGGCCTCTCTTTTTCAACTACAAATTCATATACTCCATGCCCTGATCAAGTTATTACTTTTATTTTTGTGCCTCTGGTTTGCTTCTGGGGGCTTCTGCATATTTAACAGATGATTCACTCGGCCAGGACACAGATACAGCTTCTCCTTGGAACATGCCTCTCGAAGGCCTATAGTACTGGGCATGCTATTTTACACGTGAAAAATTCTTAACTACCATCTGTCCCAGGAGAGATAGTTAATCGTTTTTGTAAGTTAGCTCATCTCGACAACTAACGGCCAAGGGCCACAGTAAGGTAGTGAAATGAGCAAGGAGCCTCAGTTAACTACGTTTTGGACGCTGAATCCAAGCCGAGAGTCATCGGGGTGTGTTTGTAGTAGCCCAGGCAGAGACGCAGTCAAATGAAATAGAAAACAATTGAAAGCAATGTCCAGACCTCACCTCCTGACAAGCTTGGTTGGTGGTAGGTGAAGCCAATTGTGATTTTTCATATATAGAGAAGGACCCGTGAGAAATTTAATAAAGTAATATTTTCATTTTTATGCTTTTTCCTCAGGATCTTTGGTTCTAAGCATTTCTATCAGATAGAAGTAAAAGTGGTGTAGGTGGGAGTCAGTTCTTTTCTCTTAGCAGTTGCTATCATGGAAAGAGAAAAGATCCTAAATGCCTTTGAATAGTTCTCATCTATCACCGTTTGAAGTGCTAGAAGTATTTCCGTAGGCTGGTATTTCTCTGAGTCTCCTGCTCATCTTTACCTGCTAACCCTTTCTGCCAGGGCTTGACCTTGAACATCCGTCCTACAAGGCTTCCTCTGTGTCTGAAAGCAGGGGCATGTGCAGCAGGGACCACAGAACCCACTGAAGGAGACTGAGCTGATATCCTGGAGGCCTTCCTGGAAGTGCAGGCCCAGGTGAAACCTGCTCAGAGCTCTCCATCCAATACTGCTGCCCACCCCTTCCCTTAGTAGCCTCCAGTTTGTCTGTTGTACTTGCTGGTTTAAAAAACATGACAAAATCTCAACCAAGCTGGTTTGACTCAGTGGATAGAGCGTTGGCCTTTGGATTGAAGAGTCCCGGGTTCTATTCCAGTCAAGGGCACATGCCCAGACTCAATCCCCAGTAGGGAGTGTGCAGGAGGCAGCCGATCAATGATTCTCTCTCACCATTGATGTTTCTCTCTCTCTCTCCCTCTCCCTTCCTCTCTGAAATCAATAAAAATATTATTTTAAATGATAAAACCTTGAGGACCCTGAGCTAGATCACCTTACCTTCCTGATTAAGAGTTGAAAGTAATGGGTACCATCACCTTTCTTAGTGCTGGAGGCCAGCAGCAGGCCTAAGGCACTAACGAGTCTAGTGTTGTTGGGAACGCACGTTACCTGGCATCGTCCCGTTCACATAGCCGTTGACTGTGTACATGACGGATGATGAGCGGCTCCAGCTCTTGCTTTCATCAAACACAGCAAACATGAGCACCTGCTGCCTGTCAAACATCTTCTGACTCCCGTCCTCGGTGAGGGTACCTGGGAAAGAAAAGATGTGCTTGTCAATACCACCCCAGGTAGAAACTCTCATTTGCTGTTCCTAGGTGGCAGAGCTGAAGGCAAGCAACCAATCTTAGTGATGTCAACTCGGAGAAATTCTTGTTTTAAAAATGGCATCTTGCCCTGGCTGGTGTAGCTCAGTTGTTGGGCGCCATCCATGCACCGAGAGGTTGCTGGTTTGATTCCAGTCAGTGCACATGCCTTGGTTACAAGCTCAATCCCCAGTAGGGGATGTACAGGAGGCAACTGATTAATGTTAAGCTTTCACATTGATGTTTCTCTCTCCCTCCTCTCCCTTCCTCTCTCTCTAAGAATCTATGAAAATAAAAAAATAAAAATAAATAGCATCTTTATCAAGTAATGATGATTAGGGGCTTATGAAAATCTTGCTGCCACATTAAACATTTTCTCTGGCGCATCATAGCCTTGAGGAATGGGGCTTTGAAGATAAATTTGACTTGACATAGAGAGGAAACATTTGGTGACTGTCAAGATTTTGGCAAAAGTATCACTTCCTCCTGTGTCAGCAGACGAACACACAGGTACCAGATCTTGGTTGGTAAAAGCCCAGCTCTCCAAGTTTCGTCCGGCCACCTTGCTGTTCATGGAATGGTTCACCAGAGAACTGGTTGAGAGGGTCAAGGTGAATTCTCATATAAGGACAAAATGCAGCTGAAAGTAAAATGAAAGAAGAGCTTTTTATAAGTTTTGATTTTTTTGTGCGCCATCCCAGTATCCTCTGTATGCCAGGCAAGGATCACATGTATTTGTGTAGTGAATAAATGATTAGCAATTGGTGAAGGGATGGTATGCGTGTCTGTGCAGACAGACGGCGAGTTCATCCCATTATTTCCCACAGTGCAGTTCGTGTGATCGTTTGTTTTCATGAAAGATGAGCTGAATTCTTTTCAGGTAAAATGAAAATCCAAGCTGGCTCCTCAGAGGCCTAGACGATGAGATTTCTTATAAAAGTCAGTTAGTGTGTTTGCAACCTGCTGCCCAAAGTGTCCCACTCTTTACGAGAAAGGAAGCTAGAGTTTTGTGTGTTTGGAGACCAAATTACCAACCCAAACCTCGGACACGTTAGGCAAAGCTCTTCCCCAGTGCTGTCAGCAGAGGGCAGGCTGCTGTACACTTGCAGGAAGACTTGGCCTTGAGGTAAACATGCAGACCACACAGGCGTGGCCTCAGAACCAACTCCCAGACAGGGATTTACTCAGAAAGGCTCCAGGCCTGAGATGGAGGAGGGGTTGGAAGGACCAGAGGAGGACTCCAGTCCCTCTGATGCCAATGTCCATCACTGGTCTGCTTCCCACCCTCCTCCCTCTGCTCGATTTGCTGAGAGGTTCCAGGATCCCCTCCCCCAAGCCTTTCCAGTATAGTACTCCTCACCACTCCAACAGCTTTGCTATTATTCATTTTATTTTTTACCTTTCTTACAAATAAGCAGAGGTCCAATCAGCCCAGAGTTGAAGTCCTGTATCAGATTTTCATAGGAGTAGTAGATGTAGGTAAGGCATGGCGGGTCATCCTTTGTGGGCCCACTGTCCTCACTGATGGTCCACTCGTAGGTATATTCATGGCCGGGAGCTACAGCATCATCCAGCTTCTCAGCAGGGAACGTGTGGTCAGAGTAGGAGGCACCTGGAGAAATAAAGGTCATGAAAACACCTGGGCGGTGCGTGAGGCTTGCCGTGCCATCACTCTCAAGCTGGAGGAACATGAGGCCTCTATAGAGGTAGCTATGCCTTTCCACAGCGAGCCTCCGTTGTTTGAAAAGATTCATACTGCATCCACTTCCATGTCTATGTAATGAGTAAGGCTTTGAGTCCGTGTGATCTGACGTGAATAAGAAATGTTACTAGTACATTATTTAAGGTGTAGGAAGTTAATTTTCCAGGGTCTTTAAATAATTATTATTCAAATGTAATCAGAGAATTGAATCATCTCTGATCAGGGAATCATTTCACAATATGAGAATGGATTATATCTTTTCTGTGGTGCTTGACGAGACATCTTCCATGTAACCGCCTGTTAGCATGGGATGTAGCTACACACCAAGCTGTTTATATATTGTTTTGTTTTATCTGTAAGTTTTTCTTTTCTTCTTTCCAACTGCTGCCACCCTCAGCCCTGTCTTACCGCTTTGTCACATCTCTACCACCTGGTTGTCCCAAGTCCTTCCCCAGAGTCTTAGAGTCTGGCTCCCTTAGGCAGCCTACTTGTCCTTAGAGTATGAAATGTGTCTACCCTCTGAAATGTAGATGTCTTGCTTTGGTCCTTTGTGTACCCAAACACCCACCATTAACACTTTGATGCCTACTCATTTTTCTCTGCTGGTGGGAGAGGGGGAGAATGTAGAAATTGGTCTTCCTTATTGAAGAGAGGGAATTGAGATTCTGAAGATTAAAAGAATTGCAGAGGGTTGGGTGTGGCTTTCAACCACAGAAGGAAGATGGGGCTAGAGATGGAGCGAGTGAGGTCAGGAAAGGGAGAGGTCAGCGTCATAGATAGCCAAGTGGGCTGGGCAGCTTCCCCTGTTTGAGGCATTCCTCATTTGATTGGGTGAAAGTTTCACTATCACCAACTGGTATCAGAATTTCCCTTTGGGGTACAGTTATCTTTGGTACAAGAGCTTGATAAATTCCTTGAGGTGGAAGGTGAGACCTTCAGAGTGTAGATGTGGGCAGATAATTGGGTAAAAAAAAAAACAACCCTAAAATGTTTTCTATGATGGGGTAAAGGGCCAGTGGAAACTACTCTTACTGAAGTGACTGTACTCTTTGAAAACAAAAATGCGTTATTGTTTTTCCTACCCTTTCCCTGTTTATTTTATTCTCCTCTTTATTCCTCCTTGCCTTTCACCATCTTTCTTGAGTTATTAAATTATATACAATAAAAGGCACCAATTCTAAGTATATCTGTTGAGGTTTGACAAATGTGTTCAGTCCTATACACAATCAAGGTACAAGACATCTCTACACTCCAAAACTTCTGCCTCCTGTGCCATTCCTGGCCAATGCTGTCCCCACCCTCCGGGCCCAGAGAACCACTGATTTGCTTTCTGTCACTGTATTTTTTTTCCAATAATGTAATAAAAATGGAATAATACATTTATGTATACCCCCTTGTGCTTGATTGGTGTTAGTATGGTATATCTTTTTTATCCTTTATTGTTTTACCTATCTTGTCTTTAATTTAAAGTGGATTGCTTGAGTTCAGCATGCAATTGGATGTTGCTTTTTAACCAGCCTTACAATCTGTCTCTTAGTTGTATGGTTCTTCCCATTTGTTTTTAATATAATTATTTATATGTTTGGGTATTTGTCCATCTGGTCTTTGTTCCTTCTCTTCTTTCTTGATTTTTCTTGGGTTGAATATTTTTTTATTCCTCACCCAAGGATATGTTTTTATTGATTTTACAGAGAGAGGAAGGGAGTGAGGAAGAGAGGGGAAGAGAAGGAGAGAGACAGAGATGTGAGAGAGAAATATTAATTCATTGCCTCCCATACATGCCCCAACTGAGGATCGAACCTGCGACCTAGGTATGTGCCGTGACCTGGAATCAACCCCACAACCTTTTTAGTGTACAGAGGACACTCCAACCAATTGAGCCACCCAACCAGGGCTGGATTGAGATTTTTTATGATTCCTGATTATCTCCACTATTGGCTTGTTAGCCTTGCTTTGTTTCCCACTCTGTAGACAGAATGATCCCTTAAAGTCCCAGATCTTACAACTGGTATCACTCTCTCGGCCCCTTTAGTTCCCTGGACTGATACACAACACTCCCTCCTCCCTCAGGTCTTTGCAGACGATATTCCCTCTGCCCAGGGTGCTCTTCTTCCCTTCCTTTCTGCCTTGGATAAGTGTGTGCTCATGCTTGATGTCAACTTTATTTTTTTTTAAAATATATTTTATTGATTTTCTACAGAGAGGAAGGGAGAGAGATAGAGAGTTGGAAACATCGATGAGAGAGAAACATCGATCAGCTGCCTCCTGCACATCTCCTACTGGGGATGTGCCCGCAACCCAGGTACATGCCCTTGACCGGAATCGAACCCGGGACCCTTCAGTCCGCAGCAGGACGCTCTATCCGCTAGCCAAACCGGTTTTGGCTTGATGTCAACTTTAATGCAAGCTTATTGCTTCCCTGATCTCTCACTGCACTATGCACATTTTTATTTTACAACACACGTCACAGTTTTTAATTGAATATGTGTGATATTCCATGATTAATTTCACCTTATCCTTCTAGATAATAATTATTTGCCTCCTGCACATGTGACCCGAGCGAGGTCCTCAAAGGCAGGTGCTGGGTTGCATTTGTCTTAGAATCTCTGGTGCCTGTCACAGTACCTGGCACGGACAAGAGCTGGATGACTGTTTATAGAACTCTTAGGATTTAAGGCCCGCAGCTAGAACCAAGGTCATCAAGTCACTCATGGGTACGTTTCATTAGAACTGCATGGTGTTAAAACAAGTTCAATGCCAACACTAACAACATGGAGATATTATATAAGAATCTGGATTGCTGGTTTCTCTTAAAAACAAAACCAACAAAACCTGGACATCTGGTGACACTGACCTAATTCCTGCATAGAATTGGCCTGGTCCTGAGTCCTGATGACCCTTCACATAGGACACAGCTCATCGTTTCTCGGCCTTTTGGCTAAGATCAAGTGCAGATAGGACACAGCTCTCTGATCAGCAGTGTCTACTGGACTTATTTCTCATTGAGTTACTCTCCTGGCGACCAGAATATCTGAGTTTGTGACCCTTGTGCTAGTAAAAAGCTTCACTGGGATTTTGTTGTATCTTTCCTTTTTCCCCAAAAGATACTATGACATCGATAACCAATCTTTACTGTAGACTGAACTTTCGCTGTGTTGATAAGAAGGATTTGAGTGTTAAAATTATCAGGGGCTGAGAAATGTTAAAAGCTCAAATGACTTCCGGTGAGTAATAATATCATTTCAGTCTCAATCAAACAGGAAAAAAAAGCATTTATGTGGAAGAGTCTCTGCTGATAAACAGGAAGGACTATCTCTGGAAAGTTGCAAAATAGCTTTTGTAGCAAAGCACACACAGGGCTGATAAGGGAAGCCGCCCTCTCAGGGCGGACTTGTCTATTGACTGGAACACGCGTGGCGAGTTGTCCACAGGGTCCATCTCGAACCCAGCTGCCAGCCCTTAGTCAGTGCCTCATGCTTCGTGGCCTCATGAGGTTAAGAAAGAATATTTCTGGACATGATGCATCCAGTGTTTCAACTGTTAAAACAGCACAGGGAATGCCTATAGTAGAAAATGGAATTCTTTTCATTGCCTTCACGAGCTCTCAAAAGGACAAAACGTGGTATTCTGTGTAGGGTGAGAGAGAGCGTTTGAAGTTCTTCCTCTCTTTCTTTGGATAAAGGCATGCTCATTCCTCAGATATCAGCTTCAATGTCAGCTTACTCATTCCCTGATCTCTGATAATATATCTCACAATATAGATGTGTAGATGTCTGTATATCATCTGTGATTATGATATGAGTATATATACACATAGCAGCATTATATATTATATATATAAAACAGCATTCATCACGATTTTAGTTAAATATTTGTGAAATTATATGACTAAGGATACTTTCTCCTGCTTAATTTAAGAGGAAGTCCAGGAGCTTTGGTGTCAGAACTGTAATTTTTGGTTGCACCACTTGCTAACTGCACGAACTTAGGAAAGTTTCTTAGCTTCCCTTTTAGCCTCAGTTTTCTCATTCGTTATTACATAATATAATCTTTGTTCTAGCAATAATATTATTATTTTTGATTGGTATGAAGACCAGAAAATATATGCAAAATGTCTGGCACCTAGATGTGTGGCTGCCTGTGGTAATACACCTCAGTATTTGGGTTATTTCCTTTCCCAGCTATTTTACAATTGATATGGCCTCTTTCTTTATGTTTCACTTCTGATAAGATGTATCTCAAGTGCTCTTGAGTTCTCTTAACACATGTGAGAAAGATTAAAGGTGGTGATATATTTATTCTAAAGAAGGTAAAAACTGGTAATAAGATTAGGTAATTACTCACAGTCACCAGTAAAATTAATAAATTTCAGAGCAAGGGGAAAATAACACATAGTTTTCACTCTCTAATCCAGTTCTCAGGTCCTCAGTTTAGTTCAGTACTCATCATCATCATCATCATCATTATCATGATCACCACCATCATCATCATTATCACCATCACCATCACCACCACCACCACCACCACAATCATTATCATCATCACCATCACCATCATAACTATTTCCACCACCATCATCACCATCACCACCACCACCACCATCATCACCACCATCATCACCATAACCATCATCACCATCACCACCACCATCACCACCATCACCACCATCACCACCATCACCACCATCACCACCATCATAATCATGTCATCACCATCATCACCACCATCATCACCACCATTTATGTTCTAGGCTCTGTGCCAGACACCAGGGCACAAATCTAAAGACAGCCTGAGACCTTGAAGGATTCATAGCCAATCTAATAGTGGGGTACATGCTGGCACCCTCGTTGCTAAAAATTTCACCTTTAGAATTCTTCCAGGGCTACTTCAGAACACATTGTTTATATGTA